TGTTGACAGAATTCACTTTTTATTTGATAGGATTAAGGACCCCGACTTCTTGATGGATATTGGTCAGGGACTGTTCTCAGCATTTGCAACTACCCTGAGCCCTAGAGGATGCCTTGGTGCTCTGCTATGGGGCTGTGTCCATGGCCTCTCTCACAGTATACAATTTACTTCTTCCGGCAAAAGGAAAGCAAGAATGAGTTTGCTAATGAGATGTAGTTTTATATAATGTGACAAACTCATGCAATTGCCATGCCATCATCCTGGACACATACTGTAAAGTCACAGGAGTGACACAGTATCACTTTAGCCATAATCTATACAAAATAAATAACTCAGAGGTTCTGTCTATGTGGGAAAAGGATACACACATTAGGAGGTAGGAAACATGGGAGCTGCATTTGTTAATGGTTAATTTCCTTATGATACCCATTCTTTCTGGAGTGAGACAGAGTTTCAGTGTTGTTCATTTTCATCTGTCAAGTGACCAAAGATGTTGAACATTTTTTCACACATACTTGCTGTTTGTATAGCTTCATCTGAGAAGTGCATATCCATCTCAGATGCTTATTTTTGCATTGAGCCTGTGAATTTTGGGGGTCTGATTTTTTTTTAGTTCTTTATATGTTCTAGATAAAAGTCCTTTGTCTGTGGGACACTATGTGAGTTGTCTTTTCACTGTTGGTGATTTCTTTTGTTGTACAAATATTTTTAATAAGGGAAGATTTCATTTGTTGATTCTTTTGCAGTATTTTCTACATGATCTGGGTTTTGTTTATGAAGTTTCTGCCTACAGTTATGTCTTCAAAATTTCTGCCTATTTTTTCTTGCAGTAAATTTGTGTTTCTACTTAAATATTTAGAATCTTTGATCCATTTTGATTTTAGTTTAGAGCATAATGATAGACCTGGTGCTAGTTTTAGTGTTTGACATGTGGAAAGCCAGTTTTCCCAGCACCGTTTATTAAAGACTGTCTTCTCCCAGTGAACATGTTTGGCTCCTTTGTCAAAGAAAACGTGGCTTAATGTGTTACGTCTGCTGCTTCTATTCTGTTTCACTTATCCTCAGGTTTTTTGTTTGTTTGTTTGTTTTGTTGTTTTTTTGCCAGTATCATATTGATTTTATTACAGTAGCTTTACATTATAAATTTAGGTCAGGGATTGAAATATCCCTGACTTGCCTTTGTTGTCTAGAATTCAATTCAGCTATTCCCCTTCTATCTTCCCAGAAGAATTAACAACGTCATACCATAGTGATGTATGGGCAACCATGTTTATATCAGCACAACTTGTAATATCTAAGTCTTGGAAACAACACAAATATGCATTAAGAGAGGATACAAAAGATGTGATAAATATCAAGATACTTATGAATCTACATCTATACCTATATCTCTATGTCTATGTCTATGTCTATGTCTATGTCTATGTCTATGTCTATGTCTATATCTATATGAGTGCTTCTTAGTCAGATAAACTTGAGACTTTCGTAAGTGGATGCAACTCAAGACCACACTCAAATGAAACAAATCAGACCCACATGTGTAAACTACATATAGTCTCACTAGTGTAAGAAGTTGAATAAGTAAATAGGACTCAAATGTGCAACAAATATTGTGAATTTGGAAGAATCTTTAAAAAAATTAGAAACTATGATGGGGAAAAAAGGAAAGGAAGAAAGGAAATAGGAAAAAATATATATGCACATGGTTGTTAAGATATACAATTAGTTGCTCTTAGTTTATTGAAAAGTTTATGCTAATATTGTTTGAACAATATTTCATGCCTGCATTTTAAACTCTAAATATCTACTGTAAATATAACAGTGTATAATGTATGAATTATTGTTTATCACCTACTAGCCTATTTTTTTTTTTGTCTTTTTCGTTTTTATTGGTACCAGGGATCAAACTCACGACTGCCTGCTTGCAAGGCAGGCGCTTATGCCGCTGAGCTAAATCCCCAGCCCCACTACTAGCTTATTTTGAATCTCTATTTAAATTTTTATTTCCTGATTTTTAAAATAAAAAGTAAAACCATATTAAAATCGCTATAAAATAATTTTAAAAATATAAAAATTATTTTGTTTCTTTTCTCCACTATATTAACAGTTCTGAATCATAGGATGTTACCTCATTATACTAAAATGCTGCGTTCACATGACCTTTTGTCATCTAATACCGTGAGACCCTGGAAGGCAAAGATAATCCTGACCATCTATAATCTGTATGACACATCCTGACTTCTTATAAAGAGTCCAACTAAACTAATATAAGCAAGGTATGGAAGTATAATTCCTCTAAACCATCTACAATTTACAATTCAATTTCTACATTTAATCACATTAAACCACCTAAAACTAAAGCAAAGATTTTCAAAATGCACTTGTGCGACATAAATACCTTTTGTATAACATTAACTCTTGCAAAAATGTACTAAAAGCAAATTAAGATTCTTGCAAATTTTTCACCCTAAAAATGATATCTATCTAAAGCTATACAAATACTTTTGAACATGCTTATATAAGTGACAAACATACAGTAGAATTATTCCTCTACTATTTAAAGAATATTTGAGATGATTGTTATGAAATTTAAAACAACATTCCACTCACTACAGAAGTGAAAAGCAGTCAAATAACCTTTATTAAATATGTATTATATAACATAAGAATTGGTCTAGACACATATGTCAATTAGTACCTGCATTACCCCTATGATAACTATCAGTCCACATATTTTCTCTTTGAGGGAACCTGCCCTGGATTCCACAGCTGGTAAATTCCAGTTACACTTCAAACCCAGAAGGTCCAACTTCAGAAGTGTGACCCTCACACTTCCTTATACAAGATGAATACCTAAAAAACACTCATTTCTATTCACCAACATCATTGCTGTTCCCTGGAATATCAGGCAAAGGGGGTAGTAAAAATTACCAACAGGCTCACAGTTGATACTTCCCAGCCACACAAAACCAAGATTATTTGCCTTGTGCTGTTGGATTAAGTACCCTGCCAAGATGTCACGCCAAAGCCTGACTTAAGAGAGATTTCTGCCTAGGCAGTTAACTTCCCCTCTGGCAGCGTACATTGACTGGCAGGGTTTCCCCAGTCACATCAGTTTCTCGACAGGGACTTAAAATCATTAGGAAAAAAAAATCACATAAAAAAATTGCAAAAAAAAAATGGTGAATGTGTTTCAAATGTATAATAATCTCAGAAAATTATCCACATATTCATTTAGAGAGTGCTTTATTTTTCATGTAAGTGTAAGACAGAATAGATGCAGTATGTCATGAGTCATATGAAATTACAAATACTGTATTTGTGTGAGACAGAATAGGCATCAATTATTACTAACTAGAGAAGTGAATGGGGATGAAAATAGGAATTAAGAATGTGTTTGTACATGTACCAACTTCCCACATGGAATGCAAACGCTATGTACTGCAAACATGTACTAAAATTATTTGAAAAAACATGTATATGAAGATATGTACATGTATATCCATACTTTTCTCATAGCCAATACTAATGCCCAACATTTCCATAATCATAAAATTATTTCAACACATAGGAAAATAAAGAACATAGCTTCACCACCTTTTGCACAGTTGGAAGGACCCAAAATGAGGCAGTTGATCCAGAGCGGTTTTAGAGAAATTGTAATCAGATGTTCTGAAACTATTCAATATTTAACTGTCTCCAGAAAAATAATATCAAAGCTTATCCTATCTCACTTAAATCTTTAATGTTCTGGTTTAAGCAGCTTTTCCTCTTGATACTTCCTTCATGGAGGAAAAGCTCTTGGAATACATTTCTCCTAGGTGTGTGATTCATTTTCTGGTTCATCTTCTTCCACAGCTGTCCTTCTGAATCTGAGTTTCCTTACTTTGTATCCACAGGTACCACTTTGTAACTTCTATTCAGGGTATAGATCCTCTGTCAAACTCTTCTAGCATTTAGCCATTGTATGTTATGATCTTTTTTCTTATTGTTAATTCCAGCTTGCTTTTTGGCCATAGTATTCCAGTTTGAAATAACAGGCATCATGAACTGACTTTGAATGATTCTCATATTAATTTATAAATTAAGTTTATTGGTGCATATTAAATGTATATATAATCACATTCAGCATGGATAATTTGTACCTATTCATGATATATCTTGATTCTTCTTTTTTTCCCCATTCCCTTACCCTTGCCCTTCATTTCTTCTTCCTCTGCTTATTTACAAAAGCTTCATTTCTATTTTCCTTCTTTTCTTGTTACTTTTTTCTTCCACCATTCCAGTTCTGCTTTCTATTTGAGTACTTTCGCTGTATTTTACAATATCTATTATATATTTTGTTCCTTATTTACACTTTTTGTTTTTGGTCTTTTTCCTTTTTATCGGTACCAGGGATCGAACTCACGACTGCCTACTTGAAAGTCAGGCCCTTATGCCGCTGAGCTAAATCCCCAGCCCCCCCTTACTTACATTTTTGTAAATGTAAATACATTTACATTTTGTGTCTCATGTACTGCATTACATCCATGAAATGATGTTTATTTTCCTGATTGTTTCTTCTTGTCAAAATGATGTAATTCTAACTTGATTTGTTTCTGTGTTCATCAATAACATAGGTACTCTAAACGGATTTTACAATAATACATGTATATCCTATTTCAATAATTTTATCATCAGAGTTATCAAAATACATTAAATATATTCTATGAACATTTGAATAATTCCATTGTTTCACTTGACAAGCCATTAATAACAGTTCTTTGAATATGGTTTTACAAGGATCAATAGTTTCTTCTACTTAGGCTATGGTATATACTTCATAATTAAATTTATAATTCTGGTATATTCTTCCTTTAAAATTTACCAGGAACAAAAGTGCTTATTATATGCCATATAAAAACATGTAACATAATTTTATTTTTCTAACTATTCAGTAGTAATATAACATTTTATACTTTATAGAAACAGAACATTTGAATATAGTTTAATATACATACCTTTGTCCAAGGCACATCCTGCTATGGTCTCAGGATAGGAACCTAAAATAAAAAAATGTACTTATTAATATACAAAATAATTACTATAAACAGGTTTTAAAATACTAGTAAACATTTTAAATTTCAACCATTGATTATGTGTGCCTATCAACTTCAATATGACATTTTACCTTTTTTTTTTAATGGCATTCATTAAGACAAAAAGAATACTTCATGAGTGGTCCACAACACTTCTTAATTTAAATTTCTAAGGAAGTCTATTAATTCTCCAGTTTTTTTCCTCCAGAAAGAAGTAAAGAAGCTGATTCATTTCCTGATATACAAATGTCAATTTCATGCAAAAAACAGACATCATTTTTCTAAAATACTACATGAATTACCAGTTTCAAAACAGACTAATTTGATATGTGATAATAAGTCTTATAATATCTGCTTATCAAAAAGTGACAATAAGACACCAATTAGTTAACAATGATTTTCTTTTTTAAAATGATTTTCACAGTAATAATGTTTCAAATTTTCAAGCAGATGATAGCTTTAAATATGTTCAAACCAACCTAGGCACTTTAGAAATCAAATGATACAACAGAACCACATAGCCTGAACTAAAGCCTAGTATTTCCATCTTTTTTCTGCTTTATTACTCTATTAGGTTCCCAATTTCCAAATATGTTCAAAAATCCATATCCCTAAAAGCACAGATCCAAATCTGAGAATTCATGCTGTGAATGTGATCTTACTAATTATAGGAAATTTGATTATATGCAGAGTGAAAATCTCATTTTTTTTTTTTTTTTGTATCTGGTTGCCTAAAATAACCAGATGTGGAGAAAAAACAAAACAAAACAAAAACAAAAACAAAAACTAGAAGAAATCAACTTTCTTTGTAATCTCTACCAGTATTTTGGAGTTAAAAGTCTACTATGAATGATAATATCTATACGGCAGGAAGAAAAGCAATGTCTCTTTCACAGTTTGTGTTTTCAAATTCAAAAAGTTTAGCTCTGGGAAGTATCTAAGGTGGATACAGTGACATATGCCCTTAATCCTGCTACTTGGAAGGATGAGTCAGGAAAATCACCATGAGTTTCAGGTCAACCTCAGCTACAACAATGATGAGCCTCTCTAAGTCTGAGTGCATAACCAACTAACTCGATTTAACTAACTGACTTCAAACTTGATTTAAAGGTTTTCTCTTGAGGAGCTTTTGGGCAACTAGAAAAAACCAAGAAACTCAGTGGCCTAAAATGTGGTCAAAACAATAAACGTGTGTACAAGTGAACATATGAGCACATCTTATACAAACTCATAGAGAGATTTTTTTACCTGAAAATAAACATACAAATATACGTACGCATATAAAACTGTGTGAGGCCAATTTCTTTTGTGTTCAAAAATAAAAAGTTCATATCAACATATTTAAATCTTGGTTCCTTGGATTGCCAGACAACTCAGACATAAAATAACATAAACCACCCTGACACTCAATTTTTCATTAAAATTTTTTTTATAAAAACTAAATGCTATAATAACAATCAATTGTTCAGAAGAGTTTTGGGACATAGTAAGTGGTTCCAAAACTTTATTTAAGTCTAAAAAATATCAAGAGATGGGACAGAGAAAGGAAGGAAAGACAAAAGGAACAAGAAAAGGAACTACGATGTATTATGTACAAGGTACCAACTCCTCACAAAAATGTAAACATTATGTATTACAAAAATGTACTAATAAAACAGTATTAAAAGTTTTAAGTAAAATGGTTCTGAAAAGTTATTAAATAAATGAAATTTCTTAGTGTATCTTATATGTAATTGAAAATTATTTTACTGATCATCTGTCAGGTAAAAATCTTTTTTTTTTCCTAAGCACATAATTATATGCAAAAAAGTTGATAAATAAAAGTTGTTACAGTTTTGGTCTAATCGTCCCCAGAATGTTTCATGTGTTCAAATGTGGGATTCCTGAAAGGTGCTGGATCATTAAGATTCTATACTCTCCAGTGGATTACTCCACTGAGTACAGTTGAATGTGCTATTAGGAAGTGGGACCTGATTACATCAAGTAGACTATTGGAAATGTCGCCTGGGAAGGTGTAGTCTTGCCTTGGACACCCTCCCTCCTCTTTCTTCCAGTCCCCTCTCCATATCCTGGTTGCCATATTGGACATGGCTGTGTAGACCATGCCCTTTCACTATGCCCTTTCAATCTTGGAAAAGCTGTCCATGAATTGAACTCGCTGTGCACTAAAATATCCTCTCTGCCTTGGTGGCAGGTGTCAAATATTTTGTTTTATCAATGGAAAATTGGCAAATACACAAGTAAAAATGATATGCTTTACTCACATTTTTTAAAATAAGCAGACTCTAGGTAAAAATAGAACAAGCTAGTACTTGTGAATGATGCATTTGAAGCAGTACTTAAAGGCAATAATTTCATATTTTGAGCTTACTTCTGATCTTGTATAACTAGAGGAACATAAAATCTCCTTAAATGAGAAGAAAACACTATTTTGCAGGCCAAATTAGAATCCTATAGTTTAATATCCACTGGAGTCAAAGTAAAGGGTGAAGTTTATGCATAAAACTGTGGATAATCACATTTTTTTGCAGATTGTAATGAATTTATTCCAGAAATATATGGATCAACAAAGTCAGACTGAAGCTTAGAAAAAAAAAATAGGCAAATAAGTCAACGCTCTGAATAATCAGGGCATCAAAAATTGCATTAAAGTTGCTTGGTCTGACTTTTTTGAATTATATATATATATATATATATATATATATATATATATACATACATATTTCAAATTATTTAATGAGTAAGAAATAAATAAAGACATCTATTTTTTGATGATTGGTGCAATGGAACTGAACAGAGGCTAAAATTAAGAAGAAACATATTTAAATTTTAAAATAAAATAAAAAAAGAAAGAATAAAAAATATCAAGTAAGAAAAATGCCAAATATCAAACTTAAAAAGAAGACAATATATTTGGTGTATTATGGTTTCAGCATATCATATTTTTGGTGCCTTGGACCCTTGATTTTGGTGAAGGGAGCATAAATTGTCCACATTATATAACTGTTTTGGTCAGTGATTATCAGGGAGATGTCAATCCCCATTTCTGCCTACATACATCAATTTCTGGAAGCATTTTTGGTCATGATTAAAAGTAAATCTTACTGGTATCCAGTGGGAAGATACTATGCATGGAACAAATATCTTGTAATGCACAGGACAGCTCTTCTCAAGGAAGAATTCTCTAACCCAGAATATCCATTGTGTGAGCCCTGGCTGATTTGGTAGAGCAGATGGAAGCCTCTCTCTTATCTCTCCATAAGCCCTCCAAAACCATGAGATTATATCATCTGATTAGAGTGGATCCCCCAGGAAACAAAGCTGTGGTAAGAATCCTGACAGAAGTTATTTTAGTTTCCAGTAGGCTGCCTAAACAATAACTAGTGTTTACTGTAACTACAGTGAATTAGTCACAAGTTGATGAACTAGGAAACACCAACATTTTATACTACGTCAATGTCAACTCAATAAGTAATTGCATTTGCACTCCTTTTCTCAAATGTAATATGTCAGAAAACATTTTTCTGGATTATATTATTTGTTTTTTAAAAAAAGTACAATCAGTGACTAACATTATTCTATTTGAAATAATTAAAATTACAAGTTGTTTGCTTTATCATTATTAGAAATTTTGGTATTCTAGGTCTCCTGTAGCTCCCAATGAACTTTAGGATTGTTTTCTATGATTCTGTGAGATTTGCTGTTGGAATTTTGAGCAGGATTACATTAAATCTGTACAACAGTTTTGGAGTTTTGTAAGTATGGCCATTTTCATTACTTTGGTTCTTCCTTCTCAGGAGCAAGCAATATTTTTTCATATTCTGATATCCTTTTCAATCTGCTTTTTCAGAGTACTGTAGTTTTCAGTGTAGAAGTCTTTTACTTCTTCCATTAGTTTATCTGTAGTTATTTATTTATTTATTTATTTATTTATTTATTTATTTATTAGATTCGATTGGGAAAGTAGCTGTTTCCTTGATTTCTTTCTCAGTGACTTTGATACTCATCTACAGTTTGAGTGCTGATTTGTATCCAGTTAACTATTGAATATGGTTATTAAATCTGGAAGTTTTTGATGGCCATTTTCGGCTCTTATAAACCCCAAACATCATGTCATGCCATGTAGTATATCATGTCTTCTGCAAATAATAATTCAACTTCTTCCTTTTCTACCCTTATTCACTTTATTTCTTTCTCTTGTCTAATTGCTCTGGCTGTTTCCAGAATCTTATTGAACAGGAATGGTGACACTGGACATCCTTGTCTTGTTCCTGATTTTAGAATAAAAGCTTTCAGTCTTTCACCATTTAGTATGATGCTGGCTATTGGTTTGTTATAGATGACTTTTAACAGATTGAGATAATGACCACCTACTCCAATTTTTTGAAAGATTTTTATCATGAATGGATGTTGGGCTTTATCAAACATTGTTCCTGTATCTTTTGAAATGATCATATCTCCCGTCTAACTCTGTTAATATGTTACATTACATTACTGATTTTCATATGCTGAATCATTCCTGCATTCCTAGGATTAACTCTACTTGGTCATGGTGGATGATCTTCTTGATGATTTGCTGCATTCTGATGTGGTTCTTTGAATACAATGGAGTGTTACTTATTTTTAGAGATGAATAAACTTGAGCCATTTCTAGGTAAATTGCTTGACCCTGAGATCATATTCTAAAGTGAAATAGATCAAACACTTATGCAAAAACTCTTTTTCCCCCTCTGGTGTGAGAAGCTAAAAGTATAAATAAGGATCAAGATGTGTAAGACATGTTGTAAAATAAGAAGAAAATATTCAAAGTTGAAGGAGAAGTAGGGAGGGGAGGGGAAGTGGGGAAGGAATAAAAAAGAAAAAAATGAGAAGGGAAGAAAAATGGAAAAGAAACTTTTGTAAATAAGAAGAGAAGAAAGGTGGCGGTCGAGTCAGAAAATGGGGGGAAGGAATCAAGATGTAGA